TCTCTTTCTCTTTCTCTCTCGCTCTCTCTCTCTCTCTCTCTCTCTACTTCTCTCCTTCCCCATCTCCCCATCTCGAGTTCTCTGCTTGCTTGCGACGGAACTGAGCTCGGCCAATGCTTTCGTCAGGTTCCGAGGGTGCTCGGCCCATGCTTCTGCCTGTGCCGACAGCATGCAAGACAAATTGGAGCCCATCCCGGTATATGCTTGTATGCAGGTGCATGTGTGTATGTGTATGGCATATATGTTCCGCTATAGACTAATATAGTAATAGTACATGATATGGTAGTATATAGTATATAGTATGTAGTCTACAGCATATAGCACATGGTATAGAATACATAGTATATTGTAGATCGTATAGGGTATACGGTATACGGTATGTAGTGCATAGTATGTAGAGCATATCGTTTAATATATAGTATACAGTATGTGATAAATAGTAAACGGCATATGGTACATAGTACAGCTATATAGTATATAGCACATAGTACATCGCATACTGTATACAATACATAGTATATGATATCTGGCATATTACATAATATGTAGGGTGTCCGGTATATAGAATATAGTATAGTACGTGAAATATATAGGATATAGTATAAAGTACTATGTTATAGTACAGTGTATAGTGCATATGGTGGAGTAGAGAAGCGTAGAGTATGGTATAGTATGTTGTAGTCTACAATACTATATCTTATTGGATTATTTACCATATTATACGGTAGACACGCTGCATCGTACTCGGGCACTTGCTGCAAAACCAAAACTAAGTGTGCAGGCATGGTGCATAAGCTTGTCGAGATACCGTGTACAGCCTGTTACGCACCATGCGCGGCTTCCGTGTTGTGGAGAATGTTGCTGTTTTATCATGCGCATCATTGCAGAACATCCCTTGCCTCCTTCAAACCGACATAGATTCACTGAGAAGTAGGGTCCCTATTGTAAGGAACCCTGTAGACGGGGAGCACATCTTTTTTCAGAACCCCCACCCCTTCACTTCATTGTCACTTCATCACCTAAAAGGGTTTGTTCGCACTGTACTGTTCGAACTGCCTTGCGTGAATACACAGCTGCACACACGCTCTCAACAGCATAATGCCGATAGTGATGACTTGGTCCGAGAAGTCTTTCCGCGTGTCTATATGCACATATAGATAATATATATGTAGATGCATCAATCAGCGCGATCAGGTTCAAGGACAAACTACTATACATTTAGTGCAGCTTCTCCTGGACCCTAAACCCTAAACCCTAAACCACAGCAAGTTTCGTTTCGCACGCACACCATCGGTGCCTCCAGCGCTGCACACCGGAGCCGGCCGGCGGCAGAACCCATCGAGGCGGCAGCACAGCTCCTGGCTTCTGTGACTAGTATATAGTAAATAGCACATAATACTCAGTATATAGTGCATAGTATATAGCATACAGTACATAGTACATCGTAGATAGTTCGTACATGGTATACATAGTATGAAGTATACAGTAAATAGTGTAGCCGTGTTGTCTTGTTGGTTTCCAAGGAAGTGCGGGACAGGGCCGGGGAGAGTCAGAGAACCATGCAAGCACTCGAAAAAAGACGAGCCAGTCTAAGGACGACGGTTCTGCCAGGATTTAAGGTTTATAGGGGTTTAGGTCCTAGGTAGGTACAAGATTCGATTGTGCCACTTTGGTCTTCGAGATTTTGCCCATGAAGACTACCAACCACGCCTCCTCAAGCCCATGGAAACTAAACTAAATTCGCCGGTGGTGCCATGCAAGGGCCGCGCCGAACTCTTGGAGCCTTCAGCCGACAGCTTCGAACGAGCAAAGTCGAGAAAATGCCGTTTTCAAGCGGTAGCTCAAAGGGATCTGTGGTCTTTCGTTCTTTCTTTCTTTCTGTCTCTCTCTCTCTCTCTCTCTCCCTATCTCGTGGCATGGCGGAGGCACCACTCAAAGTGGTGCCCTGCAGCGGAAGCTGCCGCAGCAGCATCTGGCAATGCCTCCCAGCTTCAAGCGTCCCAAATCTTAGTCATGGGCAAGGCTCAATTGGATTGCGGCGGCTGCGCGATGCATTCATGAGTGCTGTGGCCGGCGCGAGAAGCGGCTCGGCGAGAATGCGCTGATGCACGTGATATCATGTGATCCCTGTGCCGGCTCCAAAGACGGGACAGATGCCGTCGGAGTGGCCTGAAAGCTGCGGCCACTGGCATCGTCTGCATTCACGTCACACGTCCGTCTGGCCTGTGCAATGGCGCTGCCAGCCGGCATGGGCAAAGCCTCACCAAGCAGTGATTTCCAGATCCAACTTATCCCTCAAAGTGCCAGCGAAAGCTCAAAGAGTAACAAAACATGTATGGTATATTATGGTATAGTTCAAGTCCGGAGGAGGCTCCCGAGCTCGCCCCACGAGTCAACACCACACTGTAGCGGGAGCAGGTTTGGCACAGCAGGACCAGAACGTGCACTGCACTGTGGCGGGAACACGAGTCCGCGATATTCCGCGATTTTGGCGGGAGAACACTCGAGCGGACGGAGATGCACAGGACTGCGGCCGGAAGATCACTCACACTCCAAACGAAATGCCTGCGACACTATGGCGGGAACACACTTACGCTTGCGAACACCTGTTCTCGATTTCACAACGAATTCGAAGACGTGGCCGTGCAGAACCGAACAAACACATTGCACCACAGGGGGAGCGGGCGCAACTGTCGCGGGCGGCGAGCAAATTCGCAATCGGGTTGGAACCATATAGTGGCATACTAGCTGTTTGGGGAAAAGACCGCCGTAACATTGCACAACCCCATGTGAAGCTTCCATGAGCCAGGAGGGCGTGCCTCCACAGCACTAGGGTGGTCAGCAGCCCGGGCTCGATACCTTCCAAGAGCACGACTGCGTTTTTCTATCCATCCATCCATCCATCCATCCATCCATCCATCCGTCAGTCCATCCATCCATCTGTTTATCCGCCTATACGTCTATCTAGCGCCACCTATCTACCTATTTTCCTATTTCTATGCAGGCATCGATCTGCTTATCTATATATCTATCTACCACCCATCTATCTATCATTATTTCTCTATCTGTCTATGCTACATATCGGGGTGTACAGCGGCAGAAGACTAAAGCTCCAGCAAGATGACCGATGATGCGTGAGTGCTCTACCTTCCGTTCAGGGGGTTATGCACGACTCCCTGTAAACTGAACTCTTGGCTCACATGTTCGTTAGTGCAAGTGCCATCAGTAGAGCAGCCTGACAAGTCAGTTTCTTGAGACTTGTCACGGGGCGCCATCATCAACGAGGGCAAATTTCGAAGAAACTGCGTGTCAAAAGGGTCTCCAGTGCATTGTAGGCCCTTGTAGGCACAACCTTGAAACCTGTGGCACATTGACGCTTTGTCTTCATGCTGTCTACCACTGTCTAACCTACATTACAACAGTCCACCACACACCACAAATGAAAGGTCGCGCGGACTTTTTTGTCGAAGCGCAGAATCAAGTTTTATTAAGCTTCGCTCGCGGAGCCGGGACATCTTTAGAGTTTCCCAGCTTCATCCCCCACTCCCCCTGCAGCATCTGGGCTGTAGCCAGACCTGTTATTGCCTCAAACTTCCTTGCGTTCGACACACAAAGTCCCTCTACGAAGTTGCCCATGTAACCGAGGTTACATGTACCTGTTTAGCAGGTTAAGGTCACTCCACCAACTAAGAACGGCCA